GCCCCCCTGAAGACAAGTGCGCAGCCTCAGCTGTTTTTTGTTATTGTTCCAGGTTCAGAGGTCACACAGCCCGTTGTCTCCTACGTGAGCGCAGTCCACCGAAAACATTATATTTCCCACAATTTAAGCTTCTGCATTTTCCAAATGCACTAGTATTATTCAAACGTATTGTTCTGTTCGTAAGCCTCGTACCGAACGGTTTAATATGAATACGTGTGTTGTTACACCCCTAGAAACAAATAACTGTAGCTGTGGCGTCATAATGAGGTTATTAGGAGATGGCTCAAGTGTAGTAGGACAGCCAGGTATAAAATGCACGGCCCACCACTGATTCAAAGCATGTACATTGGATTGATTTTAATAACTTTAAGGTCTGTATTGTCTAGGAAAATAGAAGTATCAAATCGGAACTCAGCGTCTGCAGCTACTCGATATTAAATTACTCGGATTGAGGGGAAAGAATGGACATCCCTAGTTTTAATGAAAACTCAACTCCTGGCATGTGCTTCTGGTGTTCTTCACCACTGTTTTGGAAGAAGGGTATAACAGGAGTAACAGGCAAACCAGCTTTAGAAGTGACGTTTCTTTCCTTTTAAATGGATGGATAGTGCAGTGGATCCAATTTATGCCGATGTTAAGAGTGGTTCATTTGAATTTCTAAAAGTAACTGATAAATATTTTGCCAATATATTTGGAAAGTTTAAAAACAGAGAACAGTGTCTGGTATTAAATTAGTAGACCGTTTACAATTACTTCAGGAGGGTTGACATTTGTTTTCAGGATGGTGGTAAAAAAGAAAGTTAGTCAGGAGCCTTGCTGTAAAGTATAGCTCTTAGAATGAAAATTGCAATCAGTGCATCTCCGGTTGAAGAATTCCTTTGAAGGGCTCCTCAGGTCCCCAGCTTGCTGGGTGAAGTATTAGCACTGGCTAAATGGGCAGTGGTGACTGCTCTGATAGCAGCTATTTCAATGCAATGGATTGTATTGTGCTTCAGATGTGAAGATGGAACATTGAGGGTTCAACTCCTACAGTTTGTGTGTCTTGTACTCACGGCCTCGGTGTGGACGGGATGCACAGCGAAGAGGAGAGCTGTGACAAATGCCAGACGTGAGTCGTCAAACACAAAGCGTTTACAGGTGTACAGAAGCAGGCAGGTTACAGCGCAGTGCAAACACACGTTGATGATGTGGAAATAGAGAGGCGTCATGCCGCCCAGCAGGATGTTCAACCTGGCAGAGAGAGAGAAATATTCAGCACGGTGGGATGGGATGGGAGTGTCATTTGCATTATATCGGACACTGTGAAAGTGTTAATGTTCAAGTGTAAAATATATCAGATATGATTAAAACTCAGCTACAGACTGATGGATAAATAAGTGCAGTCAGTGTGAGTCAGCTTCCCAAAAACCACCATATCGGATAACTCTTCCCGCTGTGGGAATCTTTAAGGTCTACAACCTTTCCTGGGTAACGTGATGAAGTGTCTTATTATCCTGAACAGAATCTCAATCCAGTCAGTGTAGTGCCATGAATTTAAAAGGAAAAGAACATGATTGCTTTGAGAGAGAATGTTGGATTTCCAAAACCAGATCACACCCTGCTTAAGATCTTCTTGCAGCTAATCTCACAGTGCGTAGTAACAGTGAGTGACATATGCAATTTTCACTTGGTTTATCATAATTTGTATTACGCTGTGACAATTCCCTCTCCAACCAACAGAATACCAATGAGTGGAGCATTACACTAGTTCAGGTTCCAGTTGTCATTCCATGATATTAGATATTAGATTAAACAAAAATGATATGCAAATTCATTGATTCTGTTTTTTTCCCAATCAGGGCCAAGGGATAGATGTAAGTTCAAGAAAATTAGAGTAAACGGTCATTCACAGACCACATTTAGTTTGAACTCACAGCACTTTGTTTTAAACTTTAGTAGTGATCCCAAAGGTTCCAACATACCTCCTTTAATCAGCCAAAAAAACAAGTCAGGGTAAACATCCCACAGCTTCCATGAAGCGTTAGAACAAGATGGTAAAGAACATGTATGTGATACTGTCAGTCAGAGAGGAATACGATGACTTCTATTGCTTGACGTAACTGAAAAGGAAAGAGGGTGAAAACTTTGTTAATGGTTTTATGTTGTGTTTTGTAGAATGGAACAAATCCAAACCAGGGAGAGCTGAACAGAGCACCGCTTCACATCTTCTTATCTCTGATTATAATTAGTTCTAAAGGAGTCTTCTGTGATGGAAGAGACTCTGGCCTCCACTATCTCTCTTCTATTCATAATTCAATGAGGAGGGCTGGTGAAACCTGCTTGAGAGAGAGCCTTAACCCTCACCATTATCTCACCCTGACCTTCGCTGATGCTGATCTGCCCTAATAGCTGATGCTGAGAAGAGTGTGGAACAAGTGAAGGGCTGTGAGATGAATTTCCCAGAGGGCCAGGCTGGGGTCTCAACCGATCCGATCTGATGTGAAGGCTTCAGAGAAATCCAAATTAATTTTTTGAGGCATTTAGCTGGCATTTAGCAGGTCGGGGTTCAATGTCCTGCTCAAGGACATTTTGTTACAACGTGTGGCTGCTGACAGACTGCCGGAGGAATCCGATCTGACCTTTGTGTGATGGGCCTGTATGACTACTACTCCTGAACATGAATAACAATGAGCCTAGCTCTGCATGATGATAATATATGCTAACATCGATCATACTGTATGTAGTTGCTAGCCACTTTGAGGTGAATAGTGTTGTCATGATACCGAAATTATGATTCATACAATACCATTCATCTATTTACCCATCCATTTTCTATCGCCTGTCCAGAGCCTCGGTGACAGCAGGCAGACTTAGGACAGTATTCCAAGTGTCCCTTTCCCCTTTCTGGGGAACCCTCAGGCTTTCTCAGACCAGACATACACTCACCGACCACTTTATTAGGCACACCTGTTCAATTGCTTGTTAACACAAATAGCCAATCAGCCAATCACATGGCAGCAACTCAATGCATTTAGGCATCTAGACGTGGTGAAGACGACTTGCTGACGTTCAAAGTGAGCATCAGAATAAGGAAGAAAGGGGACTTAAGTGACTTTGAACGTGGCATGGTTGTTGGTGCCAGACGGGCTGGTCTGGGTATTTCAAAAACTGCTGATCTACTGGGATGTTCACGCACAACCATCTCTAGGGTTTACAGAGAATGGTCCGAAAAAGAGAAGATATCCAGTGAGCGGCAGTTGTTTGCACCAAGATGCCTGGTTGATGTCAGAGGAGAATGGGCAGAGTGGATGGAGATGATAGAGAGGCCACAGTAACTCAAATAACCACTCGTTACTACCAAGGTATGCAGAACACATCTCTGAACGCACAACACGTGGAACCTTGAAGCAAACGGGCTACAGCAGCAGAAGACCACACCGGGTGTCACTCCTGTCAGCTAACAACAGGAAACTGAGGCTATAATTCACACAGGCTCACCAACATGTGACAATAGAAGATTGAAAAACGTTGCCTGGTCTGATGAGTCTCCATTTCAGCTGCGACATTCAGCTGGTTGGGTCACAATGTGTCGTAAACAACATGAAAGCATGGATCCATCCTGCCTTGTATCAACGCTTCAGGCTGCTGGTGGTGGTGTAATGGTGGGGGGATATTTTCTTGGCACACTTTGGGCCCCTTAGTACCAACTGAGCATGGTTTAAACGCCACGGCCTACCTGAGTATTGTTGCTGACCATGTCCATCTCTTTATGACCACAGTGGACCCATCTTCTGATGCTACTTCCAGCAGGATAGTGCACCATGTCACAAAGCTCAAATCATCTCAAACTGCTTTCTTGAACATGACGATGAGTTCACTGTACTCCAATGGCCTCCACAGTCACCACATCTCAATCCAATAGAGCACTAAAGGAAAGGTTGGTGAGTAGCAAGAATTCTCAGGAATCATTCTCTGAGTTGTTGAGATACATTTCTCTGCTGTTTGATGAACCAACTATATTGTTTTTAGGCCCCACCACTAGCAGAGCAAAAGTAAAAGGATCTGACATGAGTGACATTTTGAAAGTGAGCACTCAGGACGTAAGCACATCCAGTGAGACAGACGCAGTGTCCTCTGTGACTGGAGAGGTGAAGGAGAGATAATTAAGCTCCGTCTCTCTGCTGGTTAGTGACCATGCAGCAACAGTAGCAGAAGTAGCTACTTTCCTTCAATTTTTTAAATGTCAAAACTTGTCCCTGAAGGTGTCAGATGAAAAATATTCCGCTTGAACACAGTCATGTGGTCTGCCTTTAATTGTGGCCTTATGATTAACTTTCATATTTTCCATTTACTAAAAGCTTTCTGTTAATACTTGTAATCAGCAAAGTCTTGATAGCATTTAGAGTTGAACAAATGCTGGTAAATGTCTACAGGGAGAGAAAGAGCAGAGGAAAAGGGCCCGATTCACCCTTTCATCATTATTTCTCCGCAGAGAAAAGAGTAGATGCTTTTTCCAGCTCCACAGCAGCTGTGGCTGGTGTGGGTTAATGATTGAGCTACAGTCAATCACCAGGAGGGTCTGCCACGTGAACCAGCATCCTTCACATGAAAGACTAATGAAGATGTTGTGGAGAAGCTGACAGCCAACCAGCGCTGGAAGCAACAACCCAAAGCATTGAACATCTCCCTGAGTGAGCAATAAGGCAACACCTGTCACTCCTAAAAGATCATCTGCCCCTCCAGTGGCTCTGGCCATTACAGTGGCTCCAGCACACTCACACTTCTGTTAAATGGGTGTTTTTGAGGCCCACTGTCCGTTGTCAGGAGAAATATTAAGGCACCAATATCTTCTTCACTGTATTACCGGACGGTGGATTGGCAAGCAGCTGCTTAAGGTTTTTTTTGCACTCTTGGGTAATTAGAATAACTGTCATTGAACAATGAAACCATCCTGCTGCTTGACCACACACACACACACACACACACACACACACACACACACACA